GTTAAGACTAATTCTGTGTCCGACGACAGGGCTGCCGGATTTTGGGGGTGGGGCGCCGTCGACGGTTGCCAGTCTGGGTGTCGGGTTGACTCTCGCGAGCGTACGTTACCGAGAGGTTTTCTGTCGGTTTCGGACGTTAATGACCTCACCAGGTGGCAGTACGTGTTTTCGTCGCGAGAAATCTCGCCTCCCGATTCGGCGTTCTGTTCCCCTCGCTTCCTTCCTCACTCCCCCCGCCTTTCTTCACCTCCCATTCTCCTTTCTCTAACATTTTCGGCAGGTGTGCTTGCCACGGCAGCGTTCGTTGGTGTGTGCCATAGATTACGCGAAAATTGCGGCTCGGGACGAATTCACGCGACGCTGTCTTGGAAACAAGCGAGCGTGCGTACTTCCTACGCGCGCGCGTTTGCCCCCGGTACTGCAGCATGTGCAGGTGGCTGTCGCTCGTCCCGCTACTACGTTGTATGGTTTCTTTCTGTTATTTGCGCGTTAAAGCGGATAAATCTCGCAGCTAGATACATATATATACCTACTGTGAGCTCGTCTGTGTTGCAAAAATTCACTACAACTCAATTGTATTGCTACTTTCATAACATTTCTTCTCAAAATCTAAACGAAATTACTTTTCTTACGAAAGTAGCACCACAGTGATGTTTACACGTCCGGGACACAGCGGTGCGATCGGCTCAATTCATTAAAAAACAAGTTAGGCCTACTTCTAGCTGTGTGACATTGCCTCGTCTGACGCGATTTTGAAACTCCTAATGTTTGTAGCACTTCTCTGGCTCAATGAGAACATTTCGTGATGTTTGCACACTGTAAAGTAAGTAGTATCGAACCGTAAGTATGCTCACAGTAGGTATATATAGGCTTTTTGTTGCGAGGTTTATCCACTTTAACGTCCTCTGTACGTGCAAGCGGGTGCATCTATTTACCGAAACTGCGGAAAGCATGCCGTGCTGGCTTGGCTTCTTTGTTCACGAAAAGTAGATGGCGTGTTTTGTACTATAGTAGCGCGTGGTAAAAGTTATGATAATAATAGTAATAATAATATTGATGATTACTATCGTACTAATTTTGATAAGAAAAGTCTGGAAAACGTGGCCTTTTCGAACGTAAATGTTGGCGGGCCGTTTCTGTTTTGCGACGTCGGAAACCGCTTCAGCGGGCAGCATAGGTGGCGCTACCCGACGTGCTCCCGCTCATCTCTGGTTAAACGTATTTTCTGCATTGGCCGGGGTGGGGGCGGTCGGCCGTCGTCCGTCGTTCGTCTCTGGTGTTTCGTTCGCCGTCCGCGACCGTCAGAGTAGTAATACAGTCTCGGCTCCCGTAATTATAATAATTATGCTATTAAGCTGACGAGATTAACCATCTCGGCGTTTATAAGCGCAGGCGAGACTGAGCTGTTCTGCGGACGACCGCGGCTAGACGGGTTCCTCGTTCTACAACCTCTTCCGTTCTTAAAACGTGTCGGCGCGTGAAGTCCGGAGAGGGAAGAACTCTGCGTCGTCGTAGTCGGCGTCTTAACACGCTCCGGTTAAGTTACGAGTTACGAAGAGTGTGGGTTGAGAAGAGTGTAGCCCAGACGTTTCGTCTGGCAGTGCGCCGCCAGGCAGAGCGGGCGGTTTTTTTTTTAGCTCCGTTCGACGATTAACGGCATTGATTTTTGTTTGTTTTAGATATTTATTGTCAGTACGTGTGTGCGCGGCGCGCGTGCGCTTTGCGAAAGCCGTGACCGGTGACGCGGCATCAAGCTTTGACGAGCGACGCTTGTTTTGGCGCTCCCCGCTGCCCCCGCCGCGTATCTCTTGAGTGAAGCTTCAGCCTGAGTCGAGATCGCCCGACCGATGTTACGTTCACGAGCGGCGCCCTCTGTAGGCGAGGGACCCGAGAATTCGCGACATTTCTCGGGGCAGTGTGAACGACAGCCGCCGCCGCAGTTTGCTAGCCCGCGATGTTATAGAGGGCGCCACCGATTACCGCCGCGAGACGTCCGCGACAGTGAAACGCTTCAACCGTTGTTGTCTCCGTGTTGTGTTCCGGTGATGTGTGAGATATTTATGACGATGACCCCTTCTTGCTCTACCCTACCCTACCCTGCCCCTTCAACTAGTTTTTTGTTTGCAAAACAAGGTGTTATTTCATAGCTACTCTGATCGTATTAAGACCGCACTTACGTGTATTGATTTTTATATTGGAATAAATGACAGTATATCCAGTGTAAGACGTTTGTTACCTTCTGCAAATTATCTTTGTTTATTGATCGTCGTTTTTGTTTACTTGTTTTCGCCGGTTGTGTTTAGAGGTAGAGTGGAACAGTACAGAGCACAAATGTACAGAAACTCAACCATTTACAAGACTCTTATAAGACACGTAGTCTATCTGCTGTCTATGGTTGGTCCATCGGGGGCGTACCCAGACATTTTTTTTATGGTAGTAAAATATGCAGCTCAAGTTGTTTATTTTTACTGGGAAATGCCTTGCCGTGCGACATCCTGGCGTAATGACAGCTGTAGTCATTATCTTATCACAACGCATAATTCTGTAGAGCGCGCAACTGAAGCGTTATAGTTAGTTGTTTTGTTTTACAGTAAAAAGGTCATCGCTACTCTCTCTTTTATTCTGAAAATTTTTAACGTATGGCATAATTGCGTACTTTGGCGTATAGGTAGCACATACGCGGCCTGGCCATCGTACTGCAGAAATAATAAATTTTTACCACGGTAGCAATAATTCAATTAATTAGGGTTAATTATGGCCTTTTCACCTAATAATAGGCCTTGTAATACATAATTTAACTGAGGTAGAAATATTTCAGCTTCTGTTAAATTATGTGTACCAACGCCTCTGATCGAGTAATAGGACAATAATTTTACCAGGGTGAAAATAACAAAAACTTGTTGGTTTACAAGAAAACTTAAAAGACGCGTGGTTTAATGTTGTCGGTGCTTTAGAATTTTTACCCGTTCCGGTTAAAATATTATTTCTATGGCCCTACAGTAAAAAACAGTTTATCTGCAGTTAAATTATGTGTAACAAGGCTACTGACTGGGTTAAAAGGGCCATAATTTAACTGCGGTAAAATTACAAGCGCCATCGTTGCACCCAATGCCTGGCAGAGGCTTTCTTATATGCAATTTAATTTAGGAGGCCACGTTGGAAATTATTTTATTTAGCTGTTTAATTTAACCACGGTCGGGGAATTCAGTTTGGAGGAAAGACTTTTAGTGGTATTAAAATTTATGGTGTAGCAAGGCCGACGTGATCGAGTAAAAGGCCAAAGTAATAATATTGGTACCGGGTCATGGGTGAAAACTCATCAGTTTCCAAGAAGACTCTTAAAAGACATGTAGTTTATATCAATGTCGTCATCTTTGTTAATCTGTTGTGGTCTGGATCTCTTTTCGTCTTTGTTTATATCTGTCGTCGTCTTTGCTTATCTGTGCGAAAGGTGGTTGTGTTTAGAGGTTGATCAGCACAAATAAAATAAATACAGAAACGAGTTGGTTTACAAGAAGACTCAGAAGACACCTTTATTTTCGGATCTAGGGTTGGTACACGTGGAATGTCTGCAGACAACTTCGTAGACTTTCGTACAACTTCGTAGGTCGCCGAAACGCACGTCGTGCAGAGCTGGGAACCTCTCGACATGCAGGCGCCCCCTCGCGTCCGGTCGCCATGGAAACGCGTCCGGCATGGGGCGACGCAATGAGAGTGCAACCACCGAGATGGAGACGATGATCGACGCGCGATCTTCTCACGTCGAGCGAGGCAACGAGAGACGTGGAAATCACGAAAGGTCGGACGCGCAAACACGCGCAAACACGCGCAAACACGCGCAAACACGTAAACGAACGCGCGACGCCACGCTGACGTCGACGCAAACACGGCGACAACAGGAGTATCGTCTGAGCTTAGGAAAACAAAACACAAACACAACGCAATCAAAAGTAAAACTCCCGACACGAATTAAAACACTAGCTCCCGCTACGCATCCCGCCTCTGGTACTGCCACGCACATGACGCGACGTTTCCTCTGCTTTAGATGGCAACTATTTCGACGACGATTTCGAGACTATAATTATGAAGGAAGCGCGATCGGCCCGCCACCGACAGATGTTCGCTTGTTAAGATTCGATTGTCAATACCCGGCGCCAGTAACGTCGCCGTGATTCCGTATAGAGACGAGCGGGGGTCACTCGCACGCGGCCATCGATCTTCTCTCTCGACTGTTCAAATAGCGGCGACTCGTCCCCAACAACCGGTGCGGGTGACGCCGCTCCAAAATTAGTTCCGCAGCAATATTAGTTCTGTTGTCATGATTTCTCGGCCTCTGATTTCCCAACTGTACACGACCGAGGCGTTCTCCGCACCGCCTCGCCTCAGATACACTGCTTCCTGGTGATTTCCCCAGTAAATTTATTCGTCATCTAGAAATAAACAAAATGGAGAGAGTAAGTCTCAAGTGATATGCTCGTGGTAATATTTGTTTTTCAAGTCTTTAACAGCTTGCTGGAAAAATGTGATGTGTGCAGTCGTAAACAAAATTTCTGACAATTTTCTGTTGTTCAGATACATAATCTAGAAATGAAATGTGCTTCGAACTTGATGTCAATAAGAATAGATGAGTATTTAAAAAACCTGAACAAATTTTAAGCCACGTACCATCATCATCGTCATCATCATCATCATCCTCATCATCGCTCTCATCATCGTCCTCATCGTCTTCGTCAAAATCATCATCATCCTCATCGTCGTCATCGTCATCATCTTGCATCTTCCCTTGCGATTTCATTCCATTCTTCGCCTTTGTCTTCTCTGAAAAAAGCAACGAAAAATCCATGATTACAATAAAAAAAACTCGAACACATTTTCTAAAGTCGCCTAAAGGACGAAGAGAGACAATACTTAAAAAAACAAAAACAAAAAACAAAGCAGGAATAAAAAGGCAGCAGAGTAGGCAGCAACGCATCCCCGCATCATACCCTCGAGGATTGAAGAGTCACAAGAAACGAGACCAATCTCTAATTACACCACGCCTACACACATACACGCACACACGTACCAGCATTCTTCTTTATGCCCTTCTTGGTCGCCTTGCCCTTTGCGCGCGCGTACTGTAGCACCAGCTTGCCTCCCTTCACCTCCTTGTCCTTACAACTGTCGTGCGCCGCCTTCGAATCCTCGATGTTCACAAACTCGACAAAGACGCAGCTGCGAAGTGAGAGAGAGAGAGATTGTCAGGTTAGAATTAGCGCATCTTATTCACAAAACAAACAAACAAACAAACTCCCGTCGCATACAAGCGACAAAAGAATTACGCTCCGCAAAAAAATTTCGCAGTTTTCAGATCTTTTCGAATTTTCGGGATCGCGGGCGAGAAAGATTGCGGACCTCCCACCGCGCGCGCCGGTCCACGATTTCTTGCGCGCACGTCGGTCCACAGGGGGCAGCAGTGCTGTGCCGCGTCGTACTTACTGCGTCAGAGATCCTCTCTGGGGGAACCTGATGTCCTTGGCTTTTGTGAAGACCTTTCTCAAGTCCAGCTCCGTCGCTCCCTCTCCGAATCCGGTGACGTAGAGAATGTGCGGATCGAACTTGATGTCTGCAAGAAACGCACGCACGCACGCACACACACGCTGTAAATCAAGGCACGCTGATCAGACGCTTGGAGTTGGAGTCGGAGAATTTACGGGACGTCGCAAATTACAGGACCCCCCAAAAAAGAGAACCCTACCACGATCGCTCAGAGAGTAAGAGCCAGCCAGCGAGCGAGCGACAGAGAGAGAGGTGAAGTGCATCCTAGGCTTCTACACGTGTTACAGTCTTCCCCCAGGTCGGGAGGCGGTAGCAGGGTTCTCCAAGCTTTTTCATTATAGCATGGCGGGTGCTGCCTTTACGGTCCTAGTTGCAAATCGCCGAAGGCGGTTTGCGTGCTAGGGGGGTCCGGGGGCTATGATATTTAGAGTGGCTGGTGCATTTTAGGATGGCGGGGCTTGACGATATATGTGCTCTTGGAGAACCCTGGGTGAGATCCCCCCCCAACCGCCCCTGCAGTTAGTATAGGGAGTACAACCCCTGCAGCGACCCCCCCCCCCTACAGTGCTGGAACTTACTCGGTTGCTGGCCTGGCTTTGTCGATGTGGCGCCGCCGCTGCGCTTGCTGCCGCAGAAGTCGATATGCAGCGGCTTGCCATCCAGCTTCTTGTTCTTCAGCTTCTCCATGTTCTTCTCTGTGATCGCCTCGCTCTCAAACTCCAGGAAGGCAAACCTGCATCCGTGCAAGAGAGAGAGAGAGAGAGTGAGAGTGTGGGGAGGTGAAAAGAGTGTGAGAGAGGAAGAGGGAGACGGAGGAGAGTGTGAGAGAGAGAAATTGAAGGAAGGACATACAACAGGCAGAGCTTTTGCGTTGGAGAGACATTTGCGTCTTAGGAAAGCAGTACTCGCAGCACCCACGTAAATACCAGCCCACGTTAAAGGGACTACGTCACGAATTTTCTATGGTAAAATTTGTAAAAAAAATTGCCATTTTTTTACATTAAAAGTAAGAACTAACGGGACTAAACAAATTGTCAAATTCTTACCTGATAAGATTGTTTCTCAACTAGTTAAAAATCCAAAAAACCTGGACGATTTGAATTAATGTTCTCAACATTAATTACTTGCTATGGGCTATGTATTCGGTCATGAGTGTATGTTCACATCGAACAATATATTAAAATAGGAAGTATAATGCAGCATTTTAACCATAAAATGTGAACAGAATTACTTATATATATTTTTTATTATTTTTTTATTATTTAGGGTGACGTAACTACTTTAAGCAAACGGTCCCCCTCCCCCCTCACCCCGTCCTACCCGCTTGAATCAACGTATTAGCCAGCGAGCCGTGCAGCCGTAATTTGCACGATCAGTTTTGAAACGGCATGACCAAAAATGTGTAGCACGGCCTAAAATATTGATCTAAAGCCTTCGGCAGTCTTGGCTGAGACACACATACAAAAAAATTTCACTCCCAAATATTTTTTCTGCACTCCCACAATACTCATTCCTGGCTAATACCCTGTGCCCTACCCGCTTGAATACGCACCAGGACGGTGTCTTCTTCTTGTCCTTGCTCTTGTAGTAACCCTGGCGTATGCGCACATCGCGGATCTGCGGCGACAGAGCCTTCAGCGCGGCCACCGTCACCGTCTGCTCGAGCATGCCAACGTAGAGACAGCGTCGCTGCTTCTCCTCTGCAACGACGAGAGTGCAGGTGAGCGAGGGAGGAGTGCGCGTGTGGGAGAAGGGAGGTGTGCGCGTGTGGGAGGAGGGAGGAGTTCGCGTGTGGGAGGAGGGAGGAGTGCGTGTGGGAGAAGGGAGGAGAGTGCGTGTGCGAGCGAAGGGAGGAGTGCGCGGTGTGGAAAGGGAGGAGAGAGTGCAACGTGTCGCCCGGAGAAGGGAGGAGTGCGAGTGGGAGGAGGGAGGAGAGTGCACGCTGAGCGAGGAGGAGTGCGTGTGGGAGGAGGGAGGAGAGTGCGTGTGGAAGAAGGGAGGAGAGTGCGTGTGGGAGGAGTGCGCGTGTGAGAGAGGGAGGAGAAGTGCGTGTGGGAGGAGGGAGAGTGGCGCGTAGTGAGGAGGGAGGAGAGTGCATTGGGAGGAGGGAGAGTGAGCCGTGTGCGAAGAGAGGGAGGAGAGTGCGTGTGGAAGGAGGAGGGAATGTGCGCGTGTGAGAGGAGGGAAGGAGAGTGCACGCGTGAGGAGGGGGGAGGAGTGCCGCGGTGTGGAGAAGGGGAGGAGAGTGCGTGTGGGAGGAGGGAGGAGTGCGCGTGTGGAGGAGGGAGGAGATGCTACGCGGGAGGGGGGAGGAGTGCGGCGTGTGGGGAGGAAGGGAGGAGAAGTGCGTGGGGAGGAAGGAGGAGTGCGTCGTGTGGAGGAGGAGGAGAAGTGCAAGCGCGTGGGAGGGGGGAGGCAGTGCGGCGTGTGGAGAACGGGAGGATGAGTGCGTGTGGAGGAAAGGAGTGCGCGGTGGAGAAGGGAGGAGAGTGCACGTGTGGAGGGGGAGTGCGGCGTGTGGGAGACAGGGAGGAGAGTGCACGTGTGGAGGAGGAAGGAAGTGCGCGGTGTGAGAGGAAAGGGAGGAGGAGGAGAGTGCGTGTGGGAGGAAGGAGGAGTGCGCGTGTGAGAGGAGGGAGGAGAGTGCACGTGTGGGAGGGGAGGTGCCGCGTGTGGGAGAAGGGAGGAGTGCGCGGTAGGAAGAAGGGAGAGTGGGGGCATGTGGGAGATGGGGGAAAAAGGAGTGCACGTGTGGGAGAAGGAGGGAGTGCACGTGTGGAGGAGGAAAGAGGACACCAGGAGGGAGGACATGTGCGTGTGTTTTTAGAGGAGGAGAGAGCGCGAAGCAGGGAGGGAGGGAGGAGGGAGGGAGGGAGGGAGGGAAAAGAGAGTATGAGGGAAGCGTGTGCGTGAGAAGAGGTTGAGAGCGTGCGATTATATCTGGTTTCGCGCGAGGCCAGGGTTTGAAAATCAGAATGCAGGCCCGATATACCCGCGCCTAAAAAGGGAACCGAGAAACATTGGTATCCACAGCTGGCAGGGAAACTTCGAAGATCACATGTTCATTATTATATCAATTTCTCACCAATATTGTATCAATGTCACAACTCACCGATCTGGTGCAGTTCTTTCGTACTTCTTCCTGCCCTAGTTTAATGGCTGAAAAGTGGGAAGAAAGCAAGTTAGACTAACCTACCCTCTAATAGATCGCAACGAGTAAATAGAGATCGTCCCTGATTGGCAATAGAAGATTCGGAGTAACTGAACGTGATATCGTCTGACATGGGTCGTGAATACTCAGTCACCTGTTAGATTAACCCTGTTAACTGTTGGCTTCTTTGGCCGAATGTTTTCGATTCGGTGTTCTGATTTTCTCTTCTGTGAGATTTTGTGCCCCGCCGGCCAATCTCGGCTGTTTGTTTTGTGACTTCTTAGAATTTTGCCTTGTGGAACGCGGCAGCCTCTTCCTCATCTGCGAAACAACTTAATTAATGATTTATCTAATTACTAGTTGTCTATTGATTGTTATGTGTGATGGCAATAACAGAGTTCGTGACTGCAACTCATGTTAAACATTTACATCAATGCGTAACCATATTCGTTGTTTTTGTTTTACTCGCACATTTCATAATGAGTTGATGTTACAAAATCACAACAGCCACGACAAAGGATGAAAATAAGTTTTACCATCGTCCCATTCTCACTTCCATATCGCGAAGTCCAAATTCTCGCCATTCTCCTAAAAACACACCACACATTTTAAAGCCAGGCGTACAACAGAGAGGGAAAAACTGACAATCAAAACTATAGGCCGCCTATTCAATGAATTCAATTCAAAAAAATTTATTTATGCACCACAATTAGCAAAGATACAATGCTATCAGAAAACATTACATGGAGGGTGAGAAGGTAGCGAAAGACCATAGGGGTCATCGCGAGTCAAGCTTAATCCCTTTAATATGTAGCAGTAGACATAATATTGAGCACTAGATATTCGTTGTATTGCAAATTAAGGAGAATTGAGATAAATTTGGCAAAATAGAAGTAGTAATGGTGCACGTATATATCAGTGAATAACAAACAAGCAAGCCAGTAATCAGTTTACAGTAATGAGGCTAAGCCATGAAATAATGTTCGTAGCAGAGAATATATATGAATTTGGATAACTTATTGAGATTAGGTATAATTCCACATCTTGGGTTACTAGTAATATACAGAACCAGGATAAAAAAATATAAAAAAATATACTCAATTCAAAGAAACATTTTATACGAGCCGTAATAATATTTAATAAGTACATTCCGCAAGAAGCTGGTTATTACCTGATACTCACCGAATCAGTCGTGTTAAAGGTAATCAAGGAGATTTTTATTTTTTTTTTACATGTCTACATTTTTGTTTTAGTGTATTCACTAACAATTTTTAGTTCCGAATGTTTTTTCTATCTATTACACACAGTTTCTTATTATTTTTATTTTTTTTTTTTCCGAGGGCACTCGTTTGTCACACAGCATGTAGCTTTAATTTTTTTTGCGCACGCCGCCGGGTACTTTCAAGTAGATGAGTAATTAAGCACTATTTCGTCTGTCATTAGACAAAATTGCTTTTTTGTGCAATTTTTCTTTTTCGCTGGGAATAAGTTTCTGGGGTCAACTAGAAATTGAATAATTTGCATTATGCAGAGCTGTGCAAAGTTAGAATGCCTTTCTTTTTCGTGGACGTCTAGAAAGCATTAGAAGTAAATTGTTCTTTTATGTTGTGTCTTCTCGTTTCGTGTTATGTTTGACATTTCCGTATTCAGGTTTTTTCGGTTGCGTAGTCTACAGCAGTGATTTCCGACCGGGTTTATAATACATGTTGTTTTTGATGGCTGAAATGTAGTTCGTGACATTGTTATAATTACTTTTGTAAAGCAGCACTTCGCGATGCACATTTTGT